AGTTTTGCGATCAAATAATATCGTAACCGAGAATTGGATACATTTAACTGATTGGGAGATAATAACAATTCCCGGTATCCGTAACCACAAGAACTCAGCGTTTGGACCAACAGTTGTCGCGTATCTGATATCTCGAATCCCTTCACGTTTTCTAATAATATATATTTCGGGAGTTTTCTAATCCTTTAATCAATTACAACAAAAATTATTCAAAATTAAATCAATATTTAAGTCATTTTATAATTACTTCGGAAATATAGACATGATATGAGCGAACGAATCGGTTCTGTTGTCATCCAAGTCTCGCTTCAGACCTAATCTATTTAATGACATAAAATGAGGTGACATTCAATTGGTGTTGATATATGTGTTGTGTTGTGGCAGACCTGGTGAAGGGCTGACACGGAGGACTCATTGTCAACAAATCAATACCCCATTCATTGAAATGCTTTTCATTAATCGATAGTATATTTCTCTCCAATTGTTGACAATTGTCTGACAAATGGTTGTAATTATAGACAGCATTCGCTGAAGAGTTGATATCAATGGCGATCAACTCGTATGACTCGATCGGCAAATCTGTTGAAATAAAACCAAACAATATTTAAACATTAGTTTGAATGGAGAGATCAAATAAAGTGATACTTTTGATGGCAAAATGCATTCCTCCGATGCCTGAATATAGCTCCAGAATTTTGAGTTTAGTGTTGAAAACATGCGAACAATCGGTGTCTGAAGTCATGGTCTCTGCAATTGAATCCAATGATAATCACATGACTATAGCATGTCTTGCTTGTGTTGTGATGATGTGTTGGGCACAAGAGGTCACCACCGGATGTGATACGAGAATCAAGCGATGGATTCGCGAAATGTGTGGCAAAAGAAATGCAGTTTTTGAGTGGAGAGAAGAGGAGAGGACTGGAAAACGACTCCGAGTTTGAGATAATTAATGACAAAAACAGTTTTCATACAAGTCTTCAATATATCATTCATAACATCAATCAATTGATTAAATGAGAAAATGTTAGAAAAGTTTAATCAAATCATACCATAAATCTTAATACAGAATATTCTGTTTTGCATCCAATTCGCCGATTTGACGTTAACTGAGTTTCCAAGTAATCGGTACTTCTGTTTAATCGTATAGTCTTCGGGAAAATCTGAAATGAATGTCAAATTTCACATTACTTTATGTTTGTATTGCTTTCATAATTGTCTTAATGTAATAACGAATTTCAATAATGTCTATATTTTCGCAATTAACTGATATTACCATCAATTTGTTACGACAAACAATTTTATATATAATTTTGTACTTTTAATCAAATGAAGTGTTTCTTATTAAGTCTATGTTTAAAAGTTTTATAAAATCATTAAAAAAATATATGAATTAATTGAAAACCGACCGAAATGTGGCGGAAATGACATTAAATTTGCGATCTCTTTGGGAGTGAAGAAACGGAGTCTAAGAGTTCGCAAAAGACAAATCTTTTGCTCATCGGTTTGGCATTCGCTGAGCTGTTGGCAAATCACTTGTATGTCATGATCGGTGGTCTGGAGTACAGAACCGGTGCCTTCGATGCGATGCGAATAGCTTTTAGTGAAACAATTAGTGTTCAATGAATCGCTTTTAACGATATCTAAAATCATAAAATATTTGACGAGAATCTTATCGGACAAGAGATAGTTTTGAATCTGTTTATCACTCAAAGGCACTAAATATTGTTGAATTGATCTCAAACTTAAATCGTTTGTTTTGAATAAGGATTTCGCACAAAATGGACACAAATTCTTGGCATTAAATTCCGGAAGTGTTGTAACAAATTCTCCGTTATTTGGACTGAAGTGAAAAGTTTTGTCAAGTTTTGCGATCAAATAATATCGTAACCGAGAATTGGATACATTTAACTGATTGGGAGATAATAACAATTCCCGGTATCCGTAACCACAAGAACTCAGCGTTTGGACCAACAGTTGTCGCGTATCTG